GCATTCATAGCTCAAAAGTGCTGATCAAATAGGGAAAGCTAATAATGAAGAGAGCAATACAGGTTGGAAAAGATTGATGTTGAGGCAACTGAAGGAGCACTCTTCCTCTACCCTTGGTGAGGAACGGCTGAGAATATTTTCATCTATACAGGAACATAAACCTGACACACAGACAACTCTGCAATGAAGGCATTACTGAAAACACAAGAAAACCAAGCAACCAAGTGACCAAAATTACTGCTACCTCCACCTTTGGTCAACAAGAGACTTACTTGCATAAGTAATGTGAGGAAAATCACTTTTTAAAAAAATAAAATAAAATAAAAATTGTGAGGAAAGAGGTTCCTGTGGATGTTTTTCAACTTTTAGCAAGAATATGAATACACAAGTGCAAGAACACAACCAAAGAGAAGTGGGAAGGATAAAGTCACCTCTTTTCACAGCAGCATGAACTTCAACTGGCTGCAGCTGAAACTAACTTTCTTGTAAAGATAATTTCTTATGCAATTTTATTGTTTAATATACAACCTGCAATTTAAGGACACTTTACTTGCATGAGTCATTCTGCAGAAAGCAGAATTAAGAGTTTAAGATAGAAATAAGAATAGAATAATAAAATTTTCAGTTGTGAATGTTCTTGTACTTGGAAATTGTTCTATCCTTGAAGAATGCAGAGTCTTTTATAGGAGCTCTAGAAATTAGGGAGAACGTGCAGGAGGTAATTTAGAAGTGCAACAAGAACATCTGGAGAAAAGGTTTAATAATCAAACAGATCAATTTGCTCTCTGTAACAACTAGATATCTAGGACTAGGCAAAGCAGATTAACTGAACTGTAGGTACTGACAGGTGCTCAGCTATCCTCTACTGTCTGCTTCATTACATCTGACTCAATTTATCAAATAAACAACAATAAACATCTGAAAATACATTCTACTATTTTAAATAAAGCATTTCAGAAGACTGGATATTTGCAGTCAGTCAGTTACTCAAAAAAAACTGAAGAGGAAGAGCAGTTTCATGCACATTCTTTTCTCTATTGTTCTTCCACACACCAGTGTACAAACCAGAGCTAGAGAAAGAGGTAATTTTTTGCTTCAACCTGAGGGAAACTTCTTTCTCTCGTAAGAAGTAATTCTGTGAGTAGTAAAACTAATGAAACCTGTTTTCCTGTAGTGCTGCATCTCAAAATTGATCGACTTTGACACCTAAATACGTATAAGCTGTGACTGCAGCTTTTCCTGCAGCTGGGCTACTCATGTTTGTCTCCCTGAATTCCCTGGAGTCCCATAACATGATTGATTTGGGCAGCCTTTCCCTCTCTCCCTTATGCCCAAACACATATCATCATGAAAAGTGTAACTGACCAACTAAGTCAAAGGTATAGCAGAGAGGAAGAAAGAGGGGCAGTTGTAGCATTAAAAGCTTCATTTCTTCAATAAATCAAAGTATTTGAATAAAAGTGGACCCTGTGCCTTTATGCTTGTGGTTTTGTTTATGCCTTGGAAACTGGTACTTGAAGCTGTCTACTACGAAACCAGAACCTGCTCACCCTTTGGCTTTATCATGTTTCACCTGTCTCTTGCAGGCAGGCAGAATTCCTTTCCCCTCTCTTCTTATAACTAAGCTTTCTTTTTAATTCTGATACAAAAAAAAAAAAAAGAGAGAGAGAAGGAAATAAGTGAGAGTTGCATGCAGATATCCATCCTGAACTGAGAGTAAAATAATGTACTGCCAGGCAGAGATAAGGCCTAGATCATTCTGAGAAGTGACTGACAGAGATGTGAAAGCCATGCAGCAAGAACAACACTTCCATTTATAGAACGAGTTAACGCATGCTCCCCAATATAAGGAGCAAATACAAAAGCTGGTAAATAAGTAATAAAATAGTGCCAGAAAAGCTTTTAGACCCTTTTTTAACCCACCCATCCTCCTTTCATCCAGTACATAGCAACATTTGCAAGCAGTCTACTTCCTCAGTATTTCTCCTATAGAAAAAAGGCAAGGTTACCATAGTATTGTAAATTAATTGTGACACCTGTTTACTAACATGGATCAATTATTTTTTATGTCTCTCTGCAATGTTAAATAAAACAAAGCCAAAAATACTACTCATCTCTCACCAAAGAATTAATGGTCCCAAGTCACCCTTAGTTGGAATATTTCTTTTAAGATAATGTTTCTAACACTTGCTAATGCAAGTTGCTCATTCCCAGATGAGCAGAAATAACCATATTTCACTTATATGAATAAAAATACAGACCCTTTTATTTTTCTGTTTTTTAAGCCTGTCCTTAGTCTTTTTCCTCTACTAAGATAGTGACAGCAAATAAGCTTTACACCTGCCCCATTTAGGCCATTGAAAGTTCAATTTTAATCTTGCATAAAATAGACGCAACCCAGGCACTTCAAATTAATGAGACTTTGAAACAATGTAAACATTTAGAATAATACACAGTGCTCTATGAACTTCTGTATAGGTGACACCTACAGCCCATAAAGTAATTGTAATGAGTTTACAAAAGGTAAACATACTTTTCTATCCTTATATTAATCTGAAATACTCTTCATAGTAATTCGTACTGCTGCAAAACTGATACATAACCAAAATAACTTGTCAAATGAATGTACCACTGTTACATAAATCCAGCCATGGCTACTTTCATACTCATGATGCACAGTCAAACAGAAGCCATATACAGATATTCCACAAGAAAAAATAAATCAAACCATCAATTGCCACCCAAGTCAGAAAGGTCTTAAATCACCCAGCCATAATGCAGACTCACATTCATTTTCCAGCTCTTCAGTTGGAAATACATAGACTTGACTTATCACCCATTCAACACCCCTCTGAATTTTCAGGATACAAAATACAACCACTCGGAGTGGCTGCTTACATTGTAAGACACATTAACATACTTCATGCCATCCCCAAAGCACAGGACTTGAAAGGCTCTAAATCTTAAAATGCTTATTTTCATTGCAGAGTATATTTTGCTTCTAAAAATAAATATTAAATATGAGCTATCAAAGATACCACTAGGAATGTGTTCTCAGTAGAAAATATGTCTCCAACATAATAACAACTTACTTCCATGATAAAAAAAAAATCATAATGTAGGCATCACTGTAATTTTTAAAGCGAAGCATGAAAGAATACAGAGAAGTTAATTAGAAGTCTATTCTGATTTCACAGAAACTCCTAACAGCACATTGATAAACCACTGTGTTAGCTTAGCTTACAAGAGGTGCCCTTTCCACACTCAGGCACAACTTCCTCTAGGTGGGGATGGATTATTAACTTTCTACCAGAAGTGAAATTCTAACCAGTGTGCTTCTCACTCAACAAATACAAAAAGGTAGAGAAACATAAATGTTTTGTCAGTTAATAAAAAACAATAAATACCTATAAAGCCTGAATAAAGGCTTCAGTAACCATTCAGAGAATACACTAGTTCACAACAAGCTTTGAAATTTAAGAAATGAAAACCTGCTTCAGCCCTTGCGCTGTTAGGGTCTGTTCTGAGTTGTATTAAGACAAAGGATACAAGTAATCTCTTTAAAGCGAGGAAATAATAGCTCTGCAAGCCTGTCTCCTGCAAATCATTACAGACAAAGAAGATTCACCTGGGCCTCCCCTCCTCACTCTCAATCCCTAGCAATTAGCCCATTGCTCCATGGCACAGAGCAGGACAACCCGCGAAGCCTCAATACAGGTAGACAGCAAATAACCAACTTTAAAATCTTATTACCAAGTTCACATGTAGATAAGATGTATCACGTTTGCCTTATGTTACCTTTATAACCCTGTTACAATCTCTCTGATGGAATGATCCACCAATTATTACTAGTGATTTGTTTCTCTGTAGTGTTTCATTACTTCAGCCAACATGTCTGACTCCCAGCTACTCAACTTCCTAAGCTAACAAGTTACCAGCTTTACTACTTCTTTGTTTAGGAATAGGAGACTTTAGACTGCATGTTTAAATGTTACACCAACTACACAGTTTAAATGTAGTGCTCTAAGGGCAAAACTGAAGTTTGACACAATTTTAACTAGGCAGTTATTGATACTTTTACCTATTAGTACTTTCCATAGACAATCTGAATTTTTAAGGTACAGCCTCACTGATAGATTGCTGTTAGCTAGATATTTAAACCCTTTCCAGCCGTATATGTCAATATATTTACCAAATAATTCCCACTTTTAAGAACTGTTTCATAAGGGAATGAAATGAGATGTCCCACCCAAGGTTATACAGCAAAGTAAGTGTGTTCCTCACAGTCTTTATACTGATACCCAAGAAGGTGGGGTGAAGTGACAGCCCTATAACTTAAGTCTTCGTTTCCACTACATTTAGAAAAGCAAGTGTCAGGGTGCACTTCCTTCTCACTGATCTATGACACTGTATCACATCCACTTTTAAGAACGAGAAGGTAATTCTAGCTTCACTGCCCACTCACCCCTTTGCAAAAATAAGTTATTGTTTTACATTTACCACACTCTCCTCTCCTACAAACCTTGCAATGAATGATGTAAATTTCACTAAGTGATGCTTACGGTATCCTGAATGTGACTGACTAACTGGAATGAGCACAGCACTTTCACTCTCTGGAAGGAAAAAGTCTTTCAAATACACTAGTAATGTTTGCTCCTGGAGCAGCCCCGTGAAGTGCACTTGTCATTTCCATGACACTTCCAGAAGGGACGGCAGCAACGCAGCTTTAGGCCAATTCCTCCTTGTCTCTCAGTTCCTCCCATCATGTGGAGCAGCCTATTTTCAGCAGTGAGTAAGCAGGTACAATCTTCCATCCTCTGTTCTGCGAGGATGGGACCAAGAGGCAGAGCAGCCTATTCCATCCTCAACTTCTGTCACATACTTGCACCACGCATGAACGAAATCATAGCAGACACAAGCAGAAAACCAGGAAAAGTGACAACGACAGGAAAACGGCACAGGGAGAAGAAAAAGGGAATTATAATTAAGTAGGCACTTACTTGAACCTTCCCTGGCAATGTTGGCACTGGTCTCCCACCCAGCCCTGGTCGCAGACACAGGTGGAGTTGACACAATGACCCGAGAAGCAGGAGATTTTGTCGCAGGACTTGGACTGGGACACCTGGGCATAGAGAGCCAGGTACAAGAAGCCGTAGAAGAGCAGCCAGCTGTTCACATCCAGAAGCGAGGAGAAGCAGCAGCAGCAGGAGGAGGGGAAAGGTCTCCAGGCGCCCCGGGATGCGGAGGCAGCCCCGGCTCTCCCCGCAGCGCTGCCCGGGTCCATCTTCGCCGCGGGGCCCGCGGGCCGAGGCGCGGCCGCCTGCGGGCAGCGATGGCA